GCTGACATAAATCACTTCTGAGTATGCATATGTTTTTTTAAAATTATTTATTTCCACCAATTTTAATAATTTCTTTATTTTACTTAACATTTCTTTATAACTATTTTTTCCTCAATATCATGAGGATCTAGATCCTGGATAACTGGAGAAGCAGAAACCTTAAACCAATTAAAGTCAAATAGTTCACTTAATGATGGTAGACACAATTCAACAAAAGTGTCTGCAGAAATTAAATAAATTAGTATTCAATTTTATTTGGAAATCCAAAATCGATAAGGAAAAAAGTTCCATCCTTACTCAAGATTATAGCCAAGGTTTTTTTTTTAATGGTTAACACTGAGAAACAGATATTGAGTTTTCGTTTAAGATGGCTTGGTAGATCATTGGATGACAGTGAAGGTCCATGGACAGATATTTGTAATTATTGGTTTGATTTGCTCGGTTGCGTAAATCTTCTGTTAAAGATTATCTGTACTAGTTTATAGGAGGGATTAGACCCCTGCAAGGTCACTGGACAGGTGGTTATCTCATCAACTCAGCTCTCAATTAACATAAGAAAGAGAGGATCATGGGGGACCAATGGTCACCGATTAGGCATTGTTTTCTATATAGAGGGAGCAAGTAGCTACAAGTAGTACAGTGTGGCTTTAAACTGTACATGTAACTATGACCATAAATTATTCGATGTCCATGATTGGCAACTTCCTGATTTCTATCTAGAAATATTACAAGCCTGGAATTATGTGAAAGGTTATACTTGCAGTGAAAATTATTCTATACAAGACACAATTTTTTATAAGCAAATATTATGGCATAACAAAAACTTTAGTTGTGGAATGATTTATCTAAAGGACCGATTATACTAAATTGAAGAAAGCTATTCCAAATATATGGTTCAGAGATCTTTCAAATGAAGTAACGGAACCAGTATATTATACCCACTCCTGAAATTCCTTATTTCCAATTTTGAAGAGTGTCTTTACTTATCAGTGACGTACAGTAAGCATCAAACGTTTATACAATCTGATATCTTTTAAACTTACATTCACCAACAGATGCTGTCTTTTGGGGGGAATATACTTCAAAAAATATTGACTGTTCAAAAGGAATTTAACGTTTACAAGGGAACATCGTATTAAGGGACTTCAATTTTAAATTGATGTACAATAAACTACCTGTAAAAAACAACATTTACAAATGGGGATTAGCAGACGACAGATTCTCTCCCCAGTGCCATGTCATAGAGGAAATAGTGCATGTGTTTATCGAATGTGAACAGAATGATAATGTCTTTGATTATATCAATCATGTTGTGAAGTACACTTTTAATATTGATTTTTGCATGGATATCTCTTGTTTACTTAAGATTAATATTAATAGAGAGATAGACGTTGTAACAACGATAGCAATCTGGTGTATGTACAAAATGTTAATCGTCGGGAATAAGTATGGATTTACTGAAAACCGTTTCAAACTAAAACACGTATTTGAAAGAGAAAAACAAAACAGAATTGTTGTAAAATCAGGAGCTAAAAAGCCAGACAAAAGGCTGCCAGAATAACTGTTAAAAGCACTTTAAATGAAAAGGATAAACTTGAGTTTGATCGATTAGACTACAATCAATACGAAATCTATTTATAACAGATTAATCGATGTGGTCAGTAAGACAAGAACATAATCAAATAAACACTAAACAAATATATATCTAGGTAAAGTTTTAAAATGGGCTGATCATATTTTAGTTCGTAGCATATAGCGAGAGAGAGAGAGAGAGAGAGAGAGAGAGAGAGAGAGAGAGAGAGAGAGAGAGAGAGAGTGAGAGGGTCATTACGAAACAATTAATCATCTTTCAAACCCTTCTTTACAACACAAATATTATCGTTATAAAGGCCGCATGGCTGGACGTTTGTCTACTAATTTGTAAGAGTGGTAGTTAAGGATTATATTCTGATTTAAATATAATGGGTGTGACAAAATCCGGGTTAAGGTCATTATGATGAGAATCCTTACCCCACATCATTAACGGCTATATCCTGTTTGGCTAATTTAGTAGGCTACTATTGACTACATACTTATTAAAGGTTGACAACTGCTAATGATACTAGTATTGATATTGGTGGACAATTACAATCTCTACCAACCATTTATTATGTTGTGTCTTTCAAAGAAAGGGTGATCAACAACAGGTCCAAGATATAAATAATTTTTAAATAATAATAACAAAGTTCAGTTGATAGTCCCGTGTTTCACATTTTCAATTAGCAGTACCTCTATCAGAACGAAATAAAGATAGTTTGTGTAATTTCAAAATTAATATGTAAAATCGGTTTTCCTTGCCTGCTGCACACGTAAAGACGAAACAAATCGTAGCCATGACGAACCAATTCTATTTTTATGGAAAGGAATCGGGTCGGTTTCGATTAGATTTGGTGATATGCTAGTGATGTAAAGTGGAAGTTATTTTATATTATTAAAATTACTTTGTTGTTCCATCTCGTATCGGTTGCGTTTGTATAACTTGGGTGCTAGCTTTTTTTTTTCTCTCTCTCTCTCTCTCTCTCTCTCTCCTTCTCTCTCTCTCTCTCTCACTCTCTTTCTCTCTCTCTCTCTCTCTCTGTCTCTCCCTCTCTCTCTCTCTCTCTCTCTCTCTCTCTCTCTCTCACTCACTCTCTCTAATATATCATTTGAAATATGTTATTTGCAGAAAATGCACATGTTTTCGTCATTAGCTAATGACATTTCAAAGGCTGAAAGTTGATCAAACAATTACATTACCCCCATAATATGGCCAAAAATCTGTCGGCGTGGGATCGGTGAGGGGTCTGTGTGGTGGCGGAACTGAGGTTAATGAAAAGACAAACGTGTCCCAAGCATGCGCTGTAAACATATTAGCGTTTGTTTACTAACATGTATTTGTCCCTTAAATCCAGCCTAATCATACACTAGCGCATACATTGTGTAGGTGTTAGTATTCAAACACTTCAAACGCAGAAAATTAAGCACTCATTGTTAAAACAATCAGTTTATCTATTTGTTATTGCAAACATTTTCGTCTCTTACTGTCAAATATTGAATGGTGTATCAGTGGTGAAATTTGTCAAGATTATTAAGTTTTTGCAGACACGCTGCAGCTAACAGTTCACAAGCACTATAATTGTCAGTGGTTGGATCGTATGAACACAAGCACATACAACAAAATATAAAAACGCAAGTTTTCTGGAAAACAAGATTTTGGAAAGAAGTTGAAAAGTATATAAAAAAAATATTGTATGTTTAACTCTAATTTCGAACCATGTCATCTATTGTTTGGTATTGTTTTGTATTTAATTTAATGAAAAGAAGGAAAACGATGTCGATATTATATGCACTTTTTACTATTTACAAAACTTAAAAGAACAAAACAGAGGCTTCTTCATATTTTGTTTTACCTCTTGGATTATCGTTTACAGATAAAAGAAAATATTTCATGTAGAAGACTATATCCCTCCAGAAATGGAGGCAAACGCTGAAACTGTGAAGATGTATATATCATTATGAGGAAATAAAGAAGACCAGAAATTGTTATTTTACAAACAAACAAAAACAAAAAGAATAAAACAAAAAGAAGCACATACAAAATGGGTCAACCGTTGTAAAAATTTAGAGTGTGTCTGAGATTTGTTTGTGTTCGTGATCACCTACAAAATTTGATACCTTTTTTTTGTCCTTTTTCGTTTAATATAGTGGTTTTCCGAAATTGTTTACCGCCCCTTTTATACGAGGAAAAAAAAAAGGATCGGCCTCTAACAGAATCGTCTTTTTCGATTGCAGGTGCCGTTTCGATTATATTTCGTGAACATTTCAAGCATGAAATGTAACAGTGGGACAATAAATGTTGGTCTTACTTTATTTACTTAGTGCACGCGTACACTCTTCATTTCAATTGCAGGCCTCCGTGTGTACTCATGTTATGAAAGAATATATGTGTTACTACTTGACACGATAACAAGAGTTCAAACTATTTGGCAACTTCATATTATACACGTATCTCTCTTTCTTTCTCTCTCTCTCTCTCTCTCCCTTGTTATTTTTTTGGTAATCTTTCCTTATTACATACCAAAAAGAAATAGCTGCACTTTTCATCCCATATTACAGCGAGGTAACACTATGGCGCAATTAAAAATGACACGCTTTCTCAACCGTGTTCAACAATAGAAATGAAATGTAGAGAAAGTAAACACATGTATCCGAGACAATCGTGACTTCAATTGAATAATTACTTTTATTTACAGAGAGATACAGAAGCATACTTGTAATAAATACATTAGATACATAAATTAGTATCCAAATTAAGATTTAAACATATAAATAAATAAAAAGTAATACAATTCGAGTACAATAACGCAAGTAAAATGCAACTGATGATGACAGCGATACTATGAGGTGAACAAATACGACGTGGTTTGAAATTAATTCCTAGAGAGGCTATGTGTAAACATAGTTGAAAGCATTTAAGAGCAATAAGCACTAAGAAAGATTTACGTAATAAATACACACATTCGTTTAAAAAAAGGATCTATGCAAATATTTTCTTAAAAGACATATAGGCTCAACTGCCATTTCATTTAGTCAGTGTGAGTGCTATGAAACAAGGAACCACTATTTTAACTGAAGTTTCTTTATTCTTGTGTGTATTTATAATTTGTAAACTGAATTGTATGAGTCTCCGGACATTTTATTCAGTATGTTTTCATTTACAATAAACCAGAATTGAATTGAATTGTTATGAATTGCAATTTCTGGGCTGATATCATAGTAAACTTCGGTTGTAATAATTAGAGATATTGCATACATGGTATGTTACTTATATTTATATAAGTACATTGGCACATAGAGGTCTTACAAAATAGTTAGTAACCAATGAAATTACACACATTTCAACTTTCCATCTTAATTTTTTTAGTTACTATTCCTCGCTGGGGTCATTCCCTCTCACGTTGATAAAGGGAAAGTCTCTCATTTCATTCCGATGAATTCGAGCAACTCTCGATTTCTACGCTCAGATTCAGACTGCGACACTGTGGAATAAGTGTATCAATGACGTCACGATATGACAAACCATTGGGGAAGTTGACAAACTGCTTAGTGGAGTCTCTCATCCTGTAATAACGACCATCTCGGTAAAAATGCAGGTAATCATTGTCGACGCGCACCACTGCTTCAACTCCATCGCGGAGGGCGTAAGGTGTATTCCTGAAAAAAGTGGATATGCGAGTCCTCCTTTGGAGCCGATTACTGCTGCTAAATTTGTAGACAAACCCACCTGAAAATGGAAAGGAAAACAAAAGGATTTCATTAATTTTCGAATCGTTTCGTTTATTTAAATTGATATTCAAGCTTCTGGGAGTATGGATGATGATGTCATAAAGACACTTTACCAATAAAATGCTTTCTCGACGCAGGTTGGTGTGAAAATATAAATCAATCAATATCTTGTGAGATATTGATTTTGAAATAGGTGTTAAACAGATTATTAAATCAAAACTTCAGTTTCACATCTCCTGTCAGTCAGTATTCATAATAATGTAATGTATTTCATACAAACAAAGACGAAAGTCTAAAATCCATTCTCGCATGAGACCATTTAGTATTACTATCATTATTATTTAAATGTCAAATCAGGAGATTGTTTTATTTTTTAATGAAATAAATGGATACATGTTTTCATCAAATACGGGACCGATTGCGCGGTATTTAAACATTTAATGTTTTGTTTTAAAAAATTCATAATTTATACAATTTAACAAAAAATGTACCTTTGAAGAAAAAAGTTGGACCAGTGTCACTAGATTTATATGCTGCATCGATGTCGCATGGTAAACCAACCCATCTCCTGTTGATTGGTATCCTTGAGAATCTGCGTTGGGTGGAGGTCTGGTAGTAGTAATAACATTCCTGTAATAACAAAAGAAAGAGGGATTAGTGATCAGAAAGTGTGACGGAGGCGCAACAGTTTCTTACACACAATCTTGAATGCTACAATTAGAATGATTTTAATAGATATTCAATGATTAATGGTCATTCCAAATAAGAGATATATTTATATACCATAGCGTTTTTTATTCAACAATTTAGCTATAAATACGCCCCCAACAAATTAAGCTGCTATTAAATATGTACTCGGTTTCGAGCAACCGGAAGCTTTGATCATTGATCTAAAATCATTGAAGATTCTCGATTCATTAAATTTAGACGGAAATGCTCCTGCGTCTTTGGTGAACGAGGTAATAAAACTGAAGATAATACAGTTTTCGCGCACCTTTTGTAAGTATAGAGTAAATAAATGTTAGATGTAGAGAATACGAAGGGTAATGAACTATTATGTACTGCCAGTTTCACAACGATTATAAAGATCGAATAAAATACTTACGCTGAAGAAATATGAAAAGATCCCATTTTGGAAACTGGCATCCACGTTCTCTGGCAGATCAAATCCAAATCTGTTACGAACTACCCCCCACGAAGGTGATGCCTGATCTAGACGCCAGTAGTAACGCCCTTTGTAACGAAAATATATTAAATATACATATATTAATTGATATATTAAATACATTTCTAGATTAATTAAGCTCTTTCTTTTGGATAAGCTGTAAAGGGGATCGTAGACGGAAAATAGAGCAGAGCTTCGATAAAAGGGTAATAAAGGAAAAAATATCTTGTCGAACTAGCAATACAAGCGTTTATTATAGTACCATATTTGGTAATAAAAACTGATATTCATAGACAGAAAACATTTTTTTTTTTAAATAGGTAAAGTTTTTTTTACTTGCTTGCCAGAGGAAGGATTATAATTATCATCAAATTCGAGCTTAGCATTTATTTAATCGTACAAAATAGGAGCGATTAAATCCTAAGTGGGTTATTAATGTAGAAGTTAAGATGCAATCCATTCTATATGCAGCGAAGAGACACAGTGGTATTCGCTTTATAGAAAAGTCAAAACAATACATCGCTCATGTAAATAATGAAAAGGAATTTAGAGAACAGAAGTTTGGGATAATTTAGAAAGCTGCTTTTGAAACTAAGACATCATTAATATGCTCTTACCGGCCAAGGCGTATATTCTACCACTATAATCTTTGATGACTGCATCGAAGGATCCCGTGCAGGCCTGGCGTGGTGGGGTAGGTGACGTAGGAGGTCTTATTGTGGTAGTCTGTGTGGTGGTTGGTTGTGTAGTTGTACGGCGTGTGGTTGTACGGCGTGTGGTTGTACGGCGTGTGGTAGTACGGGTGATTGTGGGTCGCCTAGTTGTTGTGGTTGTGCCAGTGTTTCCTAAGGAAGAGTAAGATACATAAACATTAGATCTTATTTATGCTTCATTATTTTACATTTAGGTCCAGGGGCGAAACGACTGCTCCTTTTAAAACAAAAACACACCCTCCCCTATTTACAAAAGCTTAATAAATTATCGTGAAATATGTATTATTTAAAATACCTATCGGGTATGTAAGTGTTGAGAGGTATATAGGTAGGTTGATTAAAATCTTCATGTTTAACAATAAGATAAAGACCCGTCATTTTAAAAATTAAAACATACATCTCTATTGATTAAATACCATATGACTTACTTCCATAAAGCGACGTGATACCAGCAATGTCATCACGATCAAGATTGAAGTTGGGATTATAACCCCGATAATAGGGGTACATAAGAGCTGCCTGTACATCCGAGTGGTAGAGACCAAGACTGTGACCAAACTCATGGGCTGCTACCTGAAACAAGTTCGTACCTGATGGATAGAAAAATGATGTGATTATCATAACAGAAAATGTCGGTGAGCATTCAGTGGTAAGAAAAAAAAATGACAATCACAAACACTGGCATCCTGAAGATGTACCATGGATTTTAGTATTTTAACTTCTTTTGATCGTTCGTTACTGTGTTTATATATTATTCTTCCTTTCATTTAGCATAATATATATGTCTCCTTTGGGCCAACTTTTCAAACATATTCAGCAGTTTTAATGAAAGAATATCACAACCTTGCGATCCAAACATTATTTTTAATAAATCTATATTTTAAAAAGGGGGAATAAAACGTAGACAATCATGTGAATTCTTACCAAAGTTTGTCCCGATTGTCCAAGTCTCGGAGTCGTCGAAATGAGCGTCACCGTTACGAGGTAGGAAGGCGTGGGCGAGGACGCCGCCTTGGCCATCGAAAGAGATGCCGTCACCGTGTTCATAGCTCCCGAACTTGATACGGATATCGACAGATGAACTATCGACGACCTCACGAAAGGTCAAACCGGATACATCGTCCCAAACCTGTATTGAAGATGATAAAGACATTAATAAATAAAAGCCAATCATTAACATGTTTAAATCGAAATTTAGAATTAATTCAACAATTTTGTTGATGGCATCATTAGGCGTATCAACAAAAATGGTATAATTACCTGAAACGTTTCAATTATCCTGCACCACAAAAATTGTCTAACTGCATGTTTGTATTATAAATCTCCATTATTTTCAATATCACAAACATGATAATTTATACAATAGCACGACGCGTTTGCTAAACAAAATGGAATGGTTACTTTTAAGAGAGTTACAAGATACTCGCAAAATAGTTCAGCCTTTAAAAGAAGACCCTTAGCCCATAAAAAATATACATGTTTAGCGTCCCCACCCGCTTCCTTTTTGAAATTTTTTAATTTTGTTTGTTTAAGAAAAAAACACATAAAAAACACTGCTAAAATGGATCTTTTTCTGATAAAAAATAAAGAAAAAAAAAATGTCGGCGGACATCTTGCAAAATAGCCCCGACTGTCATGGAAAATGTACCGAGCGGCCATTTTGAAGAAAAAAAGGGCCTCCTCCTTCCTATTTTTCGAAAAACAGGACGCTAAACATGTTATTATTTTTTTATTTGGCCTTAGAAATGTTCATTTAGATGCCTAACTCATACTAATATGGAACGGCAGTTCTAAAGTATGAATATCTCCCCCCCCCCCTCACCGACAAAAAAAAAAAACAGACTCAAACATTAAACATTTATGGGCTCACCTGAAAGGCTCTCCTTATCTCGTTCTTGATCGCGTTTTGATTGAGATCATTGGTGAGTGTACCGAAGCTATACGTCACAGCTACGTTACGTGGCCACGCGATGCCACCTGTGACGTAGGGTAGGATATCGGGAACACCACATCGAGGGGTATCGAGGAGCTCAACTGTTTCAGCATCCAATATACCTGTCATACGGGGAGGAATAAAACGTGACAACACGAATAAGAGTGACGTAACAATAATAATAGTATAAGTAATGATAATACTAGCAATACTATAAAATAGAAGATGCGAAATTGAATTGGGGATATCATAACGACGGTAATAATGTGACAACGGTTTTAACAATGATGGGGTTAGTGATAATGATCACAATAATGTTGTCAATGATATTAGAATAAATATTTAGCTCTAACACAAATCATCGTGTCATGCGCAAGGCTAAAACAAGTTTACTAATCGTAATTTGAAACACCGACCAAAAACGCTGAACTAATGAGTTACACGTTGTAACATACTGATGCTTTAAACTGCAAATGTGTTCAAATCAAATCAGCGACTCACCTGTTTGGTTTATACCGCCATGTTGTTGATATTCCAAGATGGCGGATGTGTAGTTGATGTTTGCCTCGCCAAAGGTTGAACCGAGTGGGACGTAACCGAACTGCTCAAGATTGGCCTAAAATAAGAGGTTAATTAACAATAGAATAATTATGAATGAAGTGAATAATTAAGGAATGAAAGTAACATGAATATCACACTGTAAATTGCTTACTAGAATTAAAATTCTGCTCATAACATAACGTTCTTCTGAAAGGTGGTATTTCAGATTAAGCGGCTACAACTGAACTCCCTCCACAGTTTTGGCGACATCAAGATAACCAATAAAAACGAGGTCTTGTTCAATTTACATTAGAATAGATAGCGCATAAATGTGTCAACCATTCTTTTGGCTTAACATAAGTTAAATTGTATCTTCGAAATGAAATAATGTTGGCGGTAGCTCATGCCCTAAACGCAATCAAGTATTAGACATGGGATCATGAATTAGTGAAACTGGATCAAACTCAAAACCGCATTGATAAGATCGTAGTTTAATTAGATTGGACCCCAAGGAAACAAGATTGAGTGAACACGAATTATTAACCTAATTGTTGCGATCATTGTAGTTTAATATGTAATCATGTAGGTGTATTTAAAACTGTAACGATTATGATTTCGCTGGATCAATTTTGACTTCGCAATGAAACGACATTCATAAAGAAGACACAAGCACATGCTCAAAACTTCATCTTAACAAGCTTAATCTCTCTCTCTCTCTCTCTCTCTCTCTCTCTCTCTTCCTTCCACCTCTCGAAAGTACACCCATATAAACAGCAGAATCATTACCAAGAAAATAGATGTCGTAATAATAGAATCTTACCTTCAATATTACGACTTTTGACTCGTCAATATCCTCGTCGACGACTATGCCCGAAACCACATCTTCAGATGTTGGTGTTGTTGTTGTTGTTGTTTGCAGTGTCGTCGTATCTTCAATCGATTCACCGCCATCGTCATCATCAGAATCGTCTTCGGAGACAGCAGTCAAGATCGCTGATCTCGGAGTGGTCAAGTCGAAATCATCTCCTGCTTCGCTGACCAATGCTGTGATGTCAGCTATCTGTGTCGGTCCGAATGTGGCCGAGATCGGGGTATTTAGTACAGTGGTTAGCCGTGTCAAGAAAACTACTGCTAATATCAAGCAAAAATTCGCCATTCTCAGTCTAAAGAGCGAACGATGATTTTAGTTGAAATGAAAACGACCTTCTAACTTGTATGAGCTTGTTTACAGCTTGATGATAAGAAGTGATAATGATTTTCACAAACAATTCACTGGCTATTTATTCGATTTTGAATCCCTGTAAAAGCGGGTTTCTAGTTAACCGCGCCCTAACGAACGCTGTTCTGATTGGCCTGTTCCGTACGCGTACCTGGTAAGCTCCTTTTTGGTTGGACGACTATTGTACGGACAATAGTGAACTATTGACCAACGGCGATATAGGATGTCAATCTTCTCCCGGAACTCTGCGGATGATGTTTCTTGTTGCCTAGCTACGTAGTTCCGGGTTTGAATTGGGTTACCCTGATAAAGAAATTGAAAGTGTATGGAATTTATTAAACGGATACAAATGGGAGAGAGTCTAGGAAGTTAAATCTCAGAATTTCTTTTTCCCTAACAATCTTTTTTGTTCAGTAGCAATGTTTCGTTTCTCTTTTTCTCGCTACTATGAAATAACATATGTTTAATTAATAAAATAACATGATTAATTATCTGCCATGATCCAATTATTTCATCTAGTCCAATGTGAACTTCCTTCCATCCAATCTCTTAAGAAAGTGGGAGACTCAATATGTTATTATGCTGTTCCCATAAATCCTTTACCATATCACATTCAACAAATATGTATTTATATGTTTCTTCATCTTTTCCACACAGAGGAGCACTTATCACATGATATTAAATGAAACCTGTAAAGTGGTGATTAACTAACACAAACAATATTATACAGCAGTTTGAATTGAAATTCTTTTAGTCTTTTTATCCAATTTGCAAATTCTGGGATGAAGCTGAAACCTTTCCATTTCCGTTACCGATATGTAATATAATGATTTATACAGAAACCTTTCCACTTCTGTGGACTTTCTCAAGCCAAGTGATCAGTCACACGTTTTCTCATAATTATAATGATCGCAAATTATGAAAACTAACAGGTGTATTTATTATATTTTGATACAGACTGTCATAAATTCTTCGAACAAACTAAATCAAATCGAAATGTTTTCTTTGAAAACTCTATTCTTAGACCAGAATGTGATAGCTGGTGCTTTGTGAGATCCGGCACTTTCCATTTCTCAAGTATGACTACATACATTTTTTAATTAATAATATTTTCTCTTCATTTAATACCATACATCTGAAATAAGCATTCGGCTTTAATTTTCCTTCTACATCTATAACATGGTACAAGTATGTTTAAGGAAAAGATTTTCATTAAAAAATGTCACTCCCCTCTTTATGAATATACTTTTTTTTTTTTTTTTTTTAATCACTTGCTTTCTTAGTTGTTTCTTTTTTAATAAACACATTCTTCATATCACGCCAGATAGTTAACATTTCCTGGTTGTTTTTGGTAATGGTATTCTAATCATTTTTCAGGAATAAAATTTCAATATAAAAAATAGAATATCCCAGAAGGGTCTCATTTGAAATTTGAATATATTTTCTGGTCTCCAGTTATAAGTCTTTTAATTCACATCACCCCTTGTATCTTGACATTTCAGTCCTCCTTGCCTTTAATCTAGATATAGGGTACACCTTCTAATCTTATTCCTACCTTGCCATAGAAAATGGAAACAAATACCATTAATTTCTTTGAAGACCCATTCAGGCAAATGAATTTAAGAGCTAACATAAATCATTTTTGAGTATGCATATGTTTTAACGGTTTTGATTTATTCCACCATTTTTAACAATTTCCTTATTTTGCTTAAAATTTATTTATAATTCGTTTCCTCTATATTATGAGGATCTAGAAACACAAATAAATTTGAGTTTGATCGATTACACTACAATCAATACAAAACCTATTAATAACAGATTAATCGCTGTGGCCAGTAAGACAAGAATATAATTTAAAAAATACATAAATTTATTAAAAAATAATAAACACTAAACAAATATATATATAGGTAAAGTTTTTTTTATGGGCTGATCATATTTTAGTTCGTAGCATATAGCGATAGAGAGAGAGTGAGAGGGCCATTACGAAACAATTAATCATCTTCCAAACCCTTCTTTACAACACAAAGATTATCCTTATAAAGGCCACATGTCTAAACGTTAGTCTACTAAATTGTAAGAGTGGTAGTTAAGGATTATAATCTGATTTGAGTTTACAATTACATGGTGTGACAAAATCCGGGTTAAGGTCATTATTATGAGAATCCTTACCCCACATGATTAACGGCTATATCCTGTTTGGCTAATTTAGTAGGCTACTATTGACTACATACTTATTAAAGGTTGACAACTGCTAATGATACTAGTATTGATATTGGTGGACAATTACAATCTCTACCAACCATTTATTATGTTGTGTCTTTCAAAGACAGGGTGATCAACAACAGGTCCAAGATATAAATAATTTTTAAATAATAATAAAAAAGTTCAGTTGATAGTCCCGTGTTTCACATTTTCAATTATCAGTACCTCTATCAGAACGAAATAAAGATAGTTTGTGTAATTTCAAAATTAATATGTAAAATCGGTTCTCCTTGCCTGCTGCACACGTAAAGTCGAAACAAATCGTAGCCATGACGAACCAATTCTATTTTTATGGAAAGGAATCGGGTCGGTTTCGATTAGATTTTGTGATCCTAGTGATGTAAAGTGGAAGTTATTTTATATTATTAAAATTACTTTGTTGTTCCATCTCGTATCGGTTGTGTTGGTATTACTTGGGTGCCAGCTTCTTTCTTTTCTCTTTCTCTCTCTCTCTCTCTCTCTCTCTCTCTCTCTCTCTCTCTCTCTCCTTCTCTCTCTCTCACTCTCTTTCTCTCTCTCTCTCTCCTTCTCTCTCTCTCACTCTCTTTCTCTCTCTCTCTCTCTGTCTCCCCCCTCTCTCTCTCTCTCTCTCTCTCTCTCACTCTCTCTAACTGTCGATCCCCTAAATTTGTTAATACTCTGCTGGCATACTCTGCTGGCATACTCTGCTGTATGATAAGCTGACATCGGGATTATTTTATACAAGGTACAACTTCTTTCTTCTCCTCCTTACTCTCTTCAATCCTTCCGTTCCCGGTATATACCGTTGTTTTTTCAAAATCCGTTAATTTTCTCCACCAAGACAATTTGAAAACAATAACTAATAATATCATTCTGTTTTTGAAATCCAGTTATTACTGACGAAGCTATCTTTAACATTATAATCAACATTTATCCAGGTTTTACGCATTTAATTACTAGGGGTGATCTAAATCATTATCATTAAACAAATCACGTGTATATCGGACGAAGATCGTTCAGCAAATATATCATTTGAAATGTGTTATTTGCAGAAATATGCACATGTTTTCGTCATTAGCTAATAACATTTCAAAGGCTGAAAGTTGATCAAACAATTACATTACCCCCATAATATGGCCAAAAATCTGTTGGCGTGGGATCGGTGTGGGGTCGGCGTGGGATCGGTGAGGGTTCGGCGTGGGATCGGTGGGGGGTCGGTGTGGTGGTGGAACTGACAAACGTGTCCCAAGCATGCACTGTAAACATGTTAGCGTTTGTTTACTAACATGTATTTGTCCCCAAAATCGAGCCTGATCATGCACTAACGCATACATAGTGTAGGTGTTAGTATTCAAATACTTCAAACGCAGGAAATTAAGCACTCATTGTTAAAACAAACAGTTTATCTGCTTGTCATAGCAAACATTTTTGTCTCTTACTGTCAGATATTGAATGGTTTATCCGTTGTGAAATTAGTCAAGATAATTAAGCGGTTGGCAGACACGCTGCAGCTAACAGTTCACAAGCACTATTGTCAGTGGTTGGATCGTTTGAACACAAGCACATACAACAAAATATAAAAAACGCAAGTTTTCTGGAAAACAAGATTTTGGAAAGAAGTTGAAAAGAATATAAAAAAATATTCTATGTTTAACTCTAATTTCGAACCATGTCATCTATTGTTTGGTATTTAATTTAATGAAAAGAAGGAAAACGATGTCGATATTATTTTAGATTATGCACTTTTTACTATTTACAAAAGCTTTGTTGGAAAGAATTTAAAAGAAAAGAACAAACAGAGGCTTCTTCATATTTTGTTTTACCTCTTGGATTATCGTTTACAGATAAAAGAAAATATTTCTTGTAGAAAACTATGTATATCCCTCCAGAAATGGAGGCAAATGCTGAAAATATGAAGATGTATATATCATTATGAGGAAATAAAGAAAACCAGAAATTGTTATTTTACAAACAAACAAAAACAAAAAGAATAAAACAAAAAGAAGCACATACAAAATGGGTCAACCGTTGTAAAAATTTAGAGTGTGTCTGAGATTTGTTTTTGTTCGTGATTACCTACAAAATGTGATAACCTTTTTTTTTATCCTTTCTCGTTTTTATACTGGTTTTCCGAAATTGTTTACCGCCCCTTTTATACGAGGAAAAAAAAACACTGATCGGCCTCTAACAGAATCGTCTATTTCGATTGCAGGTGCCGTTTCGATTATATTTCGTGAACATTTCAAGCATGAAATGTAACAGTAGGAAAATAAATGTTGGTCTTACTTTATTTACTTAGTGCACACGTACACTCTTCATTTCAATTGCAGGCCTCCGTGTGTACTCATGTTATGAAAGAATATCTGTGTTACTACTTGACATGATAACAAGAGTTCAAACTATTTGGCAACTTCATATTATACACGTATCTCTCTCTCTCTCTCTCTCTCTCTCTCTCTCTCTCTCTCTCTCTCCCTCTCTATCTCTCTCTCTCTCTCTCTCTCTCTCTCTCTCTCTCTCTCTCTCTCTCTCTCTCCTCCTTGCTCTTTTTTGTGGTAATCTCTCCTTGTTCCCTTCATAAGGTTACATATCAACGAAAAGTACATGTAACTGCACTTTTCATCCCATAGTACAACGGGGGAATTCCATGGCGCAATTAAAAATGACACGCTTTCTCAACCATGTTCAATAATAGAAATGAAATGTAGAGAAAGTCAACACATGTATCCGAGACAATCGTGACTTCAATTGAATAATTAGTTTTATTTACAGAGAGATAATATAGAAACCCACTTGTAATAGATGAAAACAATATAGATAACCAGCACCTGTGGGTATTTAGTAAGGTTCACCTAAAACTTGATGGGTTTTTTCATCTCATTAATCAGATTCATAAATTAATATCCAAATTAAAATCTAAACATATAAATAAATAAGAGTTATAACATTCGAGGACAATGGCGCAAGATAAATGCAACTGATGATTACAGCGATATTATGAGGTGAACAAATACGACGTGAGGTGAAATTAATTCGTAGAGAGGCTATGTGTAAACATAGTTGAAAGCATTTAAGAGCAATAAGCACTAAGAAAGATTTGCGTAATAAATACACACATTCGTTTAAAAAAAAGGATCTATACAAATATTTTCTTAAAAGTTATGCTCAACTGACATTTCATTCGGTCAGTGCGAGTGCTTTGAAACAAAGTACCACTCTTTCAACTTTGTTATGAATTACAATTTTCTGGGCTGAAATCATAATGAACTATGCTTCAGCTGTAACATATATTATTATAGATATTGGATACATGGTATATTGCTTATATTTATGAAAGTACATTGGCGCATAGAGGTCTTATACAAAATAGTAAGTAAGCAATGAAAATTACCCATATTTAAACTTTCCATCTTAACACTTTTAGTTACTATTCTTCGCTGGGGTCATTACCGCTCGTTGATAAAGGGAAAGTCCCTAAAAAAAATGTCATTTCATTCCGAGGAATTCGAGCAACTCTCGATTTCTACGCTCAGATTCAGACTGCGACACTGTGGAATGAGCGTATCAATGACGTTACGATATGACAAACCATTGGGGAAGTTGACAAACTGCTTAGTGGAGTCTCTCATCCTGTAGTATCGACCATCTCGGTAAAAATGCAGGTAAACATCGTCGACGCGTACCACTGCTTCAACTCCATCGCGGAGGGCGTAAGGTGTATTCCTGAAAAAAGTGGATATGCGAGTCCTCCTTTGGAGCCGATTTGTGCTGCTAAATTTGTAGACAAACCCACCTGAAAATGGAAAGGGAAACAAAAGGATTTCATTAATTTTCGAATCATTTAGTTTATTTATATTGATATTCAAGCTTCTGGGAATATGGATGATGGTATTGTCATAAAGATACTTCACCAATAAAATGCTTTCCCGGCGCATGTTGGTGTGAAAATGGAAATCAATCAATATCTTGTGAGATATTGATTTTGAAATAGTTGATGACTTGTAAAGAGACTTCGGTTATTAATGCATCCTGAGGTTAATAATGAACTTCATTCGTTATGAAATCTCTTGACTATTCACAAAATAGTGCTCAATCACGGATAAATCACAGGTGTTAAACAGATTATTAAATCAGATTTCAGTTCCATTTCTGCTGTCAGTCAGTATTCATAATAATTGTCAATAGTAAAATTAAATACACAAAGGGAGATTCTCTGAAATGTATTTCATACATACAAAGACGAAAGTCTAAAATCCATTCTCGGATGAAACCATTTGGTATTACTATAATTATTTAATTGTCAAATCAAGACTTTTTTTCTTGATGAAATAAATGGATACTTGTTTTCATCAGACGGGACAGATTTTGCGGTATGTGAAACGCTGTAATGTTTTATTTTAAATAAATCATAATTTATACAATTTTAAAAAAATGTACCTTTGAAGAAAAAAGTTGGACCAGTGTCACTAGATTTATATGCTGCATCGATGTCGCATGGTAAACCAACCCATCTCCTGTTGATTGGTATCCTTGAGAATCTGCGTTGGGTCGAGGTCTGGTAGTAGTAATAACATTCCTGTAATAACAAAAGAAAGAGGGATTAGTGATTAAAAAGAGTGACGGAGACGCAACAGTTTCTTACACACAATCTTGAATGCTACAGTTAGAATGATTGTAATCATTATTCAAATGGTCATTATCCGACTAGAGAAAATATTTATAAACCATAGCGTTTTTTATTCAACAATTTAGCTATAAATAGGCCCCCAAAATTAAGCTGCTTTAAAATATGTACTTGGTTTCGAGAAGCAGAAGCTTTGACCATTGATCTAAAATCATTTATGATCCTCGGCCCATTAAATGTAGACGGAGATGCTCCTGGGCCTTTGGTGAACGAGGTAATAAAACTGAAGGTAATACAGTTTTCGCGCACCTTTTGTAATTATAGAATAAATAACTGTTAGATGTAGAGAATATGAAGGGTAATGAACTATTATGTACTGCCAGTTTTACATCGATTATAAAAATCGAATAAAGTACTTACGCTGAAGAAATATGAAAAGATCCCATTTTGGAAACTGGCATCCACGTTCTCTGGCAGATCAAATCCAAATCTGTTACGAACTACCCCCCATGAAGGTGAAGCCTGGTCTAGACGCCAGTAGTAACGCCCTGTGTAATGAAAATATTAAATTAGTAAATCAATGTCTAGATTAAATAAACCTTTTTCTCTAGGATAAGCTGTATAGGGGATCGTAGACAGAAATGGAGCAGAGCTTCGATAACAGAAGTATATAGTCTATGCTGCTTTAACACATTCATACCAGGGTGATAAAAGGGTAATGAGCAATATCCTTTCAAATTATCATTACAAGCGGTCACTGTACTACCATATTTGGTGATAAGAACTGATATTCAAGTAATGAAAAGATTTTTTTTTGTAAATAGGTTAAGTTTTTAACTTGCTTGCTAAAGGATGGATTATAATTATCATCAAATTTTAGCTTAGCATTTATTTTATCGTCCAAAATTGGAGCGATCAAATCCTAAGTGGGTTATTAATGTAGAAGTTAAGATGCAATCCATTCTATATGCAGCGAAGAGACACAGTGGTATTCGCTATATAGAAAAGTCAAATCAATACATCGCTCATGTAAATAATGAAAAGGAATTTAGAGAACAGAAGTTTGGGATAACTTAGAAAGCTGCTTTTGAACATAAGACATCATTAATTTCTTCTTACCGGCCAATGCGTATATTCTACCACTATAATCTTTGATGACTGCATCGAAGGATCCCGTGCAGGCCTGGCGGGGTGGGGTAGGGGACGTAGGAGGTCTTATTGTGGTAGTCTGTGTGGTGGTAGGTTGTGTAGTTGTACGGCGTGTGGTGGTACGGCGTGTGGTTGTACGGCGTGTGGTAGTACGGGTGATTGTGGGTCGCCTTGTTGTTGTGGTTGTGCCAGTGTTTCCTATGGAAGAGGAAGATACATTAACATTTCATCTTATTTATGCTACATTTTTTTATTTGGGTCCAGGAGCGGAGCAAATGCTCCTTTTAAAACAAAATATTTACGGGTCAAAAACACGACCAGGATTCCTTAATATATATTTTTCCAAAGCTAAATAAATCATTAATGATAACAAATATTATCAGAAATAATATCTCTAGTTATATTCGTTTGTCTCGCAATTTATGGTCAACAAGGGATCAAAAAAATTACGACGTTTCGTGCGCCGCTGCAACACTTCGTCAGGTGAACAAATAGTATTAAAAATGATATCTGTCGGATATGTAAGTGTTGAGACGTCTATAGGTAGGTTGATTAAAATCTTCATTTTTAACAATAAGAGACGAAATCGTCATTTTAAAAATTATAACATAAATATCTCTATTGATTAATTCCACATGACTTACTTCCATAAAGCGACGTGATACCAGCAATGTCATCACGATCAAGATTGAAGTTGGGATTATAACCCCGATAATAGGGGTACATAAGAGCTGCCTGTACATCCGAGTGGTAGAGACCAAGACTGTGACCGAACTCATGAGCTGCAACCTGGAACAAGTTCGTACCTGATGGATAGGAAATGATGTGATTATCAGTAACAGAAAATGTCGGTGAGCATTGTGGAAAGAAAAAAAAATGACAATCACAAACACTAGCATCCTGAAGATGTATTTAAAAAAGGGGGAATAAAACGTAGACAATCATGTGAATTCTTACCAAAGTTTGTCCCGATTGTCCAAGTCTCGGAGTCGTCGAAATGAGCGTCACCGTTACGAGGTAGGAAGGCGTGGGCGAGGACGCCGCCTTGGCCATCGAAAGAGATGCCGTCACCGTGTTCATAGCTCCCGAACTTGATACGGATATCGACAGATGAACTATCGACGACCTCACGAAAGGTCAAACCGGATACATCGTCCCAAACCTGTATTGAAGATGATAAAGACATTAATAAATAAAAGCCAATCATCAACATGTTTAAATCGAAATTCAGAATTAATTCAACAATTTTGTTGATGGCATCATTAAGCGTATCAACAAAAATAGTATAATTACCTGAAACGTTTCAATTATCCTGCACCACAAAAATTGTCTAACTGCATGTTTGTATTATAAATCTCCATTATTTTCAATATCACAAACATGATAATTTATACAATAGCATGACGCATTTGCTAAACAAAATGGAATGGTTACTTTTAAGAGAGTTACAAGATACTCGCAAAATAGTTCAGCCTTTAAAAGAAGACCCTTAGCCCATAAAAAATATACATGTTTAGCGCCCCCACCCGCTTCCTTTTTGAAATTTCGAAATTTTGTTTGTTTAAGAAAAAACACTTGAAAAACACTGCTAAAATGGATCTATTTCTGATAAAAAAAATTAAAAAAATTAAAAAAAAAGGTCGGCGGACATTTTGCAAAATAGCCCCGACTGTCATGGAAAATGTACCGAGCGGCCATTTTGAAGAAAAAAAAGGGCCTCCTTCTTCCTATTTATCGATAAACAGGACGCTAAACATGTTATTATTTTTTTATTTGGCCTTAGAAATGTTCATTTAGATGCCTAACTCATACTAATATGGAACGGCAGTTCTAAAGTATGAATATCCCCCCCCCCCCTCACCGACAAAAAAAAAAAAAAACAGACTCGAACATTAAACATTTATGGGCTCACCTGAAAGGCTCTCCTTAGCTCGTTCTTGATCGCGTTTTGATTGAGATCATTGGTGAGTGTACCGAAGCTATACGTCACAGCTACGTTACGTGGCCACGCGATGCCACCTGTGACGTAGGGTAGGATATCGGGAACACCACATCGAGGGGTATCGAGGAGCTCAGCTGTTTCAGCATCCAATATACCTGTCATATGAATGGGGATGAATAAAACGTAAGAATGTTAATAAGAGTGACGTAACAATAGTGCTATTATAAGTAATGATAATACTAGCAATGATAATGAGAATAGTAATGACATTGATGACAGCAAGGTCTGTGACTTACTCAAAACCGTGATGATGTGAGAAATCAAAACAGAAGATGCGAACGTAAATTGAGGATATCATAACGACGGTAATAATATGAGAACGGTTTCAACAATGATTGGGTTGGTGATAATGATAAAAATAATGTTGTCAATAATATTAGAATACATGTTTAGCTCTAACACATATCACCATGTCATGTGCAAGTCTACTGTACATGTTTACTAATCGTAATTTGAAACACCGACCAAAAACGCTGAACTAATGAGTTACACGTTGTAACATACTGATGCTATAAACTGCAAATGTGTTCAAATCAAATCAGAGACTCACCTGTTTGGTTTATACCGCCATGTTGTTGATATTCCAAGATGGCGGATGTGTAGTTGATGTTTGCCTCGCCAAAGGTTGAACCGAGTGGGACGTAACCGAACTGCTCAAGATTGGCCTAAAATAAGAGGTTAATTAACAATAGAATAATTATGAATGAAGTGAATAATTAAGGAATGAAAGTAACATGAATATCATACTGTAAATTGCTTACTAGAATTAAAATTCTGCTCATAACATAACGTTCTTCTGAAAGGTGGTATTTCAGATTAAGCGGCTACAACTGAACTCCCTCCACAGTTTTGGCGACATCAAGATAACCAATAAAAACGAGGTCTTGTTCAATTTACATTAGAATAGAGAGCGCATAAATGTGTCAACCATTCTTTTGGCTTAACATAAGTTAAATTGTATCTTCGAAATGAAATAATGTTGGCGGTAGCTCATGCCCTAAACGCAATCAAGTATTAGACATGGGATCATGAATTAGTGAAACTGGATCAAACTCAAAACCGCATTGATAAGATCGTAGTTATTAGATTGGACCCCAAGGAAACAAGATTGAGTGAACACGAATTATTAACCTAATTGTTGCGATCATTGTAGTTTAATATGTAATCATGTAGGTGTATTTAAAACTGTAACGATTATGATTTCGCTGGATCAATTTTGACTTCGCAATGAAACGACATTCATAAAAAAGACACAAGCACATGCTCAAAACTTCATCTTAACAAGCTTAATCTCTCTCTCTCTCTCTCTCTCTTCCTTCCACCTCTCGAAAGTACACCCATATAAACAGCAGAATCATTACCAAGAAAATAAATGTCGTAATAATAGAATCTTACCTTCAATATTACGACTTTTGACTCGTCAATATCCTCGTCGACGACTATGCCCGAAACCACATCTTCAGATGTTGGTGTTGTTGTTGTTGTTTGCAGTGTCGTCGTATCTTCAACCGATTCACCGCCATCGTCATCATCAGAATCGTCTTCGGAGACAGCAGTCAAGATCGCTGATCTCGGAGTGGTCAAGTCGAAATCATCTCCTGCTTCGCTGACCAATGCTGTGATGTCAGCTATCTGTGTCGGTCCGAATGTGGCCGAGATCGGGGTATTTAGTACAGTGGTTAGCCGTGTCAAAAAAACTACTGCTAATATCAAGCAAAACTGCGCCATTCTCAGTCTAAAGAGCGAACGATGATTTTAGTTGAAATGAAAACAACCTTCTAACTTGTATGAGCTTGTTTACAGCTTGATGATAAGAAGTGATAATGATTTTCACAAACAATTCACTGGCTATTTATTCGATTTTGAATCCCAGTAAAAGTGGGTTTCTAGTTAACCGCGCCCTAACAAACGCTGCTCTGATTGGCCTGTTCCGTACGCGTACCTGGTAAGCTCCTTTTTGATTGGACGACTATTGTACGGACAATAGTAAACTATTGACCAACGGCGATATAGGATGTCAATCTTCTCCCGGAACTCTGCGGATGATGTTTCTTGTTGCCTAGCTACGTAGTTCCGGGTTTGAATTGGGTTACCCTGACAAAGAAATTGAAAGTGTATGGAATTTATTGGACGGATACAAATGGGAGAGAGTCTAGGAAGTTAAATCTCAGAATTTCTTTTTCCCTAACAATCTTTTTAGTTCAGTAGCAATGTTTCGTTTCTCTTTTTCTCGCTACTACGAAATAACATATATTTAATTTTCCACACAGAGAAGCACTTATCACATGATATTAAATGAAACCTGTAAAGTGGTGATTAACTAACACAAACAATATTATACAGCAGTTTGAATTGAAATTCTTTTAGTCTTTTTATCCAATTTGCAAATTCTGGGATGAAGCTGAAACCTTTCCATTTCCGTTACCGATATGTAATATAATGATTGATACAGAAACCTTTCCACTTCTGTGGACTTTCTCAAGCCAAGTGATCAGTCACACGTTTTCTCAAATCATAATGATTGCAAATTTTGAAAACTAATTGGTGTATTTATCAAATTTTGATACAGACTGTCATAAATTCTTCGAACAAACTAAATCAAATTGAAATGTTTTCTTTGAAAACTTAAACTCTATTTTTAGACCAGAATGTGATAGCTGGTTCTTTGTGAGATCCAGTTTCCATTTCTCAGGTATGACTACATACATTTTTCAACTAATTATATTTCCTCTTCATAACTCAGAAATAAGCACCCGGCTTCAGTTTTCCTTCTACACCTATCGCATAGTAATATATGTATGTATTTTTAAGAAAAAGATTTTAATTAAAAAATGTCAGTCCCCTCTCTATGAATATACCTAAATTATTTGTAATAAATCTGTTGCTTTCTTAGTTGTATCTTTTTTAATAAACACATTCATATCACGCCTCATAGTTAACATTTCCTGGTTGTTGTTTTTTGTAATGGTATTCTAATCATTTTTCAGGAATAAAAATTCAATATTAAAATAGATTACCCCAAAAGGGTCTCATTAGAAATGTGTATATTTTTTCCATTTCACTTTCTGGTCTCCAGTTATAAGTCTTTTCATTCACATCACCTCTTGTATCTCGACAAAAAGTCTAACATTTAGCATATTCAGTCCTCCTTGTCTATAATCTAGATACAGGGTACACCTTCTAATCTTATTCCTACCTTGCCATAGCAGATTGAAAAAAATTTCATCAATTTCTTTGAAGACCCATTCATGCACAGGAATTAAAGAGCTGACATAAATCACTTCTGAGTATGCATATGTTTTTTTTAAATTATTTATTTCCACCAATTTTAATAATTTCTTTATTTTACTTAACATTTCTTTATAATTATTTTTTCCTCAATATCATGAGGATCTAGATCCTGGATAACTGGAGAAGCAGAAACCTTAAACCACTTTAAAGTCAAATAGTTCACTTAATGATGGTAGACACAATTCCACAAAAGTGTCTGCAGAAATTAAATAAATTAGTATTCAATTTTATTTGGAAATCCAAAATCGATAAGGAAAAAAGTTCCATCCTTACTCAAGATTATAGCCAAGGTTTTTTTTTTTTTAATGGTTAACACTGAGAAACAGATATTGAGTTTTCGTTTAAGATGGCTTGGTAGATCATTGGATGACAGTGAAGGTCCATGGACAGATATTTGTAATTATTGGTTTGATTTGCTCGGTTGCGTAAATCTTCTGTTAAAGATTATCTGTACTAGTTTATAGGAGGGATTAGACCCCTGCAAGGTCACTGGACAGGTGGTTATCTCATCAACTCAGCTCTCAATTAACATAAGAAAGAGAGGATCATGGGGGACCAATGGTCACCGATTAGGCATTGTTTTCTATATAGAGGGAGCAAGTAGCTACAAGTAGTACAGTGTGGCTTTAAACTGTACATGTAACTATGACCATAAATTATTCGATGTCCATGATTGGCAACTTCCTGATTTCTATCTAGAAATATTACAAGCCTGGAATTAAGTGAAAGGTTATACTTGCAGTGAAAATTATTCTATACAAGACACAATTTTTTATAAGCAAATAATATGGCATAACAAAAACTTTAGTTGTGGAATGATTTATCTAAAGGACCGATTATACTAAATTGAAGAAAGCTATTCCAAATATATGGTTCAGAGATCTTTCAAATGAAGTAACGGAACCAGTATATTATACCCACTCCTGAAATTCCTTATTTCCAATTTTGAAGAGTGTCTTTACTTATCAGTGACGTACAGTAAGCATCAAACGTTTATACAATCTGATATCTTTTAAACTTACATTCACAAACAGATGCTGTCTTTTGGGGGGGGGGGAATATACTTCAAAAAAATATTGACTGGTCTTTCGTGTTCAAAAGGAATTTAACGTTTACAAGGGAACATCGTATTAAGGGACTTCAATTTCAAATTGATGTACAATAAACTACCTGTAAAAAACAACATTTACAAATGGGGATTAGCAGACGACAGATTCTCTCCCCAGTGCCATGTCATAGAGGAAATAGTGCATGTGTTTATCGAATGTGAACAGAATGATAATGTCTTTGATTATATCAATCATGTTGTGAAGTACACTTTTAATATTGATTTTTGCATGGATATCTCTTGTTTACTTAAGATTAATATTAATAGAGAGATAGACGTTGTAACAACGATAGCAATCTGGTGTATGTACAAAATGTTAATCGTCGGGAATAAGTATGGATTTACTGAAAACCGTTTCAAACTAAAACACGTATTTGAAAGAGAAAAACAAAACAGAATTGTTGTAAAAATCAGGAGCTAAAAAGCCAGACAAAATGCTGCCAGAAAAACTGTTAAAAGCACTTTAAATGAAAAGGATAAACTTGAGTTTGATCGATTAGACTACAATCAATACGAAATCTATTTATAACAGATTAATCGATGTGGTCAGTAAGACAAGAACATAATCAAATAAACACTAAACAAATATATATCTAGGTAAAGTTTTAAAATGGGCTGATCATATTTAAGTTCGTAGCATATAGCGAGAGAGAGAGAGAGAGAGAGAGAGAGAGAGTGAGAGAGAGAGTGAGAGAGAGAGAGTGAGAGGGCCATTACGAAACAATTAATCATCTTTCAAACCTTTCTTTGCAACACAAAGATTGTCGTTATAAAGACCACATGTCTAAACGTTTGTCTACTTATTTGTAAGAGTGGTAGTTAAGGATTATAATCTGATTTGAATTACATGGATGTGACAAAATCCGGGTTAAGGTCATTATTACGAGAATCCTTACCCCATATCATTAACGGCTATATCCTGTTTGGCTAATTTAGTAGGCTACTATTGACTACATACTTCCAAGTCCAAGATATAAATAATTGTTGAATAATAATAACAAAGTTCAGTTGATAGTCCCATGTTTCACATTTTCAATTATCAGAACGAAATAAAGATAGTTTGTGTAATTTCAAAATGAATATGTAAAATCTGTTTTCCTTGCCTGCTGCAAACGTAAAGACGAACCAATCCTACTTTTATGGAAAGGAATCGGTCGGTTTCGATAAGATTTAGTGATATGCTAGTGATGTAAAATTGAAGTATTTTCTATTATTAAAATTACTTTGTTGTTCCATCTCGTATCCGTTGCGTTGGTATAACTTGGGTGCAAGCTTTTTTTATTTTTTATTTTTTATATCTCTCTCTCTCTCTCTCTCTCTCTCTCTCTCTCTCTCGCTCTCTCTCTCTCTCTCTCCTTCTCTCTCTCTCTCTCTCTGACTCTCTTTCTCTCTCTGTGTGTGTCTCTCCCCTCTCTCTCTCTCTCTCTCTCTCACTCACTCACTCTCTCTAACTGTCGATCCCCTATATTTGTTAATACTCTGCTGGCATACTCTGCTGTATGATAAGCTGCCATCGGGATTATTTTATACAAGGTACAACTTCTTTCTTCTCCTCCTTACTCTCTTCAATCCTTCCGTTCCCGGTATATACCGTTGTTTTCTCAAAATCCGTTAATTTTCTCCACCAAGACAAAGTGAAAACAAGTTGAAAGTTGATCAAACAATTACATTACCCCCATAATATGGCCAAAATCTGTCGGCGTGGGATCGGTGAGGGGTCGGTGTGGTGGTGGAACTGAGGTTAATGAAAAGACAAACGTGTCCCAAGCATGAGCTGTAAACATGTTAGCGTAATACTAACATGTATTTGTCCCCAAAATCTAGCTCAAGCATGCACTAGCGCATACGTGTTTAGATGTTAGTATTCAAACACTTTAAACGCAGGAAATTAAGCACTCATTGTTAAAACAATCAGTTTATCTGTTTGTTATTGAAAACATTTTTGTCTCTTACTGTCAGATATTGAATGGTTTCAGGCGCGTACGCAGGATTTTGTTCAAGGGGGGAGTTTTAACATTTATAAATCGGGCCGAAAATTTCGCAACGACTCAGCCAGCCGCTGAATAAGCGGAGGGGGGGGGGGGGGGGGGGGGGGGGGGGTTAAGAGGACACTTTTTTTTTGAAAATTTGACATTTTGCTCCGTTGGGGGGGGGGTAAGGTCAGCTATTTTAGGTCAGCCATGGGAATATCTTTTTTCTTTTTTCTTTTTTTTTTTTTATAAAAAAAAAATACAAAACAAAAATACAAAGGGGGGGGGGGGTTTAGGGGGTTTAGGGGGGGGGGTTACACACAAAAAATACCAAAGGGGGGTTTAGCCCTCCCCCCCCCCCCTGAATGGTTTATCCGTTGTGAAATTAGTCAAGATATTTAAGCGTTTGCAGACACGCTGCTGCTTACAGTTCACAACCACTATTGTCAGTGGTTGAATCGTTTGAACACAAGCACATACAAAAAAATATAAAAAACGCAAGTTTACTGGAGAACAAGATTTAACTCTAATTTCGAACCATGTCATCTATTGTTTGGTATTTAATTTAATAAAAAGAAGGAAAACGATGTCGATATTTTTTTAGATTATGCACTTTTTACTATTGACAAAAGCTTTGTTAGACAGAATTTAAAAGAAAAGAACAAAACAGAGGCTTCTTCATATTTTTTTTTACCTCTTGGATTATCGTTTACAGATAAAAGAAAATATTTCATGTAGAAAACTATGTATATCCCTCCAGAAATGGAGACAAATGCTGAACATGTGAAGATGTATGCTATATATCATTATGAGGAAATACAGAAGACCAGAAATTGTTATTTTACAAACAAACAAAAACAAAAAGAATAAAACAAAAAGAAGCACATACAAAATGGGTCAACCGTTGTAAAAATTTAGAGTGTGTCTGAGATTTTGTTTGTGTTCGTGATCACCTACAAAATTTGATACCTTTTTTTTTCCTTTGTCGTTTAATAGTGGTTTTCCGAAATTGTTTACCGTCCCTTTTATGCGAGGAAAAAAAACACTGATCGACCTCTAATTACAGAATCGTCTTTTTCGATTGCAGGTGCCGTTTCGATTATATTTCGTGAACATTTCAAGCATGAAATGTAACAGTAGGACAATGAATGTTGGTCTTACTTTATTTACTTAGTGCACACGTACACTCTTCATTTCAATTGCAGGCCTCCGTGTGTACTCATGTTATGAAAGAATATCTGTGTTACTACTTGACACGATAACAAGACTTCAAACTATTTGGCAACGTCATATTATACACGTATCTCTCTCTCTCTCTCTCTCTCTCTCTCTCTCTCTCTCTCTCTCTCTCTCTCTATCTCTCTCTCTCTCTCTCTCTCTCTCCTCCTTGCTCTTTTTTGTGGTAATCTCTCCTTGTTCCCTCCATAAGGTTACATATCAACGAGAAGTACATGTAACTGCACTTTTCATCCCATATTACAACGGGGGAATTCCATGGCTTTCTCAACCATGTTCAATAATAGAAATGAAATGTTAAGAAAGTAAACACATGTAACCGAGACAATCGTGACTTCAATTGAATAATTAGTTTTATTTACAGAGAGATAATATAGAAACCCACTTGTAATAGATGAAAACAATATAGATAACCAGCACCTGTGGGTATTTAGTAAGGTTCACCTAGAACTTGATGGGTTTTTTCATCTCATTAATCAGATTCACAGATTAATATCCAAATTAAAATCGTAACATATAAATAAATAAAAGTTATAACATTCGAGGACAATGGCGCAAGATAAATGCAACTGATGATGACAGTGATATTATGAGGTGAACAAATACGACATGAGGTGAAATTAATTCGTAGAGAGGCTATATGTGTAAACATATTTGAAAGCATTTAAGAGCACTAAGCACTAAGAAAGATTTAAGATACACACATTCGTTTAAAAAAAGATCTATGCAAATATTTTCTTAAAAGATATAGGCTCAACTGTCATTTTATTTGGTCAGTGTGAGTGCTATGAAACAAGGAACCCCTATTTTAACTGAAGTTTTTTTTTCTTGTATGTATTTATAATTTGTAAACTGAATTGTATGAGTCTCCGGACTTTTTATTCAGTATGTTTTTATTCACAATAAACCAGAATTGAATTGTTATGAATTACAATTTTCTGGGCTGACATCATAGTAAACTTTGCTTCGGCTGTAATAATTAGAGATATTGCATACATGGTATATTGCTTATATTTATGTAAGTACATTGGCACATAAAGGTATTACAAAATAGTTAGAAACCAATGAACATTACACATATTTCAACTTTCCATCTTAATTTTTTTAGTTACTTTTCTTCGCTGGTGTCATTACCGCTCGTTGATAAAGGGAAAGTCCCTAAAAAAATGTCATTTTATTCCGATGAATTCGAGCAACTCTCGAGTTCTACGCTCAGATTCAGACTGCGACACTGTGGAATGAGCGTATCAATGACGTTACGATATGACAAACCATTGGGGAAGTTGACAAACTGCTTAGTGGAGTCTCTCATCCTGTAGTAACGACCATCTCGGTAAAAATGCAGGTAATCATTGTCGACGCGTACCACTGCTTCAACTCCATCGCGGAGGGCGTAAGGTGTATTCCTGAAAAAAGTGGATATGCGAGTCCTCCTCTGGAGCCGATTAGTGCTGCTAAATTTGTAGACAAACCCACCTGAAAATGGAGAGGAAAACAAAAGGATTTAATTAAATTTCGAATCGTTTCGTTTATTTAAATTGATATTCAAGCTTCTGGGAGTATGGATGATGATGTCATAAAGACACTTAACTAATAAAATGCTTTCCCGGCGCAGGTTGGTGTGAAAATATAAATCAATCAATATCTTGTGAGATATTGATTTTGAAATAGGTGTTAAACAGATTATTAAATCAAAACTTCAGTTTCATATCTCCTGTCAGTCAGTATTCATAATAATGTAATGTATTTCATACAAACAAAGATGAAAGTCTAAAATCCATTCTCGGATGAGACCATTTGGTATTACTATCATTATTTTGACAAATCAAGAGATTTTTAATTTTATTTCTTGATGAAATAAATGGATACTTGTTTTCATCATAAACGTTTCAATATTTTAATTTAAATAATTCATAATTTATACACTTTTACGAGCATGTACCTTTGAAGAAAAAAGTTGGACCAGTGTCACTAGATTTATATGCTGCATCGATGTCGCATGGTAAACCAACCCATCTCCTGTTGATTGGTATCCTTGAGAATCTGCGTTGGGTGGAGGTCTGGTAGTAGTAATAACATTCCTATAATAACAAAAGAAAGAGGGATTAGTGATTAAAAAGAGTGACGGCGACACAACAGTTTCTTACACACAATCTTGAATGCTACAGTTAGAATGATTGTAATAATTATTCAAATGGTCATTATCCGAATAGAGAAAGTATTTATAGACCATAGCATTTTTTATTCAACAATTTAGCTATAAATAGGCCCCCAAAAATTCAGCTGTTGTGTACCTAGTTTCGAGGACCAGAAATTTTTGAACAATAAATTAATCTAAAATCACTGATGATTCTCGATCCATTTTAATGTAGACGGAAATGCTCCTGGATCTTTGGTTGACTAGGTTTTAGAACTGAAGGTAATACAGTTTTCGCGCACCTTTTGTAATTATAGAGTAAATAACTGTTAGATGTAGAGAATATGAAGGGTAACGAAATATGAAATCGACAACTATTGGTACTGTCAGTTTCACATCGATTATAAAGATCGAATAAAATACTTACGCTGAAGAAATATGAAAAGATCCCATTTTGGAAACTGGCATCCACGTTCTCTGGCAGATCAAATCCAAATCTGTTACGGACTACCCCCCACGAAGGTGATGCCTGGTCTAGACGCCAGTAGTAACGCCCTGTGTAATGAAAATATTAAATATGCATATTAAATATACATATATAAATTGATATATTAAAATAAATTTCTAGATTAATTAAGCTCTTTCTTTTGGATAAGCTGTAAAGGGGATCGTAGACGGAAAATAGAGCAGAGCTTCGATAAAAGAAGTATATATTCCAATGCTGCTGTTCCGATCAGGGTGATAAAGGGGTTAAGGAAGAAATATCCTGTCAAACTAGCAATACAAGCGTTTATTAGTACCATATTTGGTAATAAAAACTGATATTCATAGACAGAAAAGATGCTACCTTGCTTGCCAAAGGAAGGATTATAATTATCATTAAATTTTAGCTTAGCATTTATGTTATCGTACAAAATGGGAGCGATTATTCTTAGTGGGTTATTAAGTTAAGATGTAATCCATTATATTATGTAGGAAAGAGACACAGTGGTATTCGCTATATGGACAAGTCAAAGCAATACATCGCTCATGTGAATAATAAAAAGGAATTTAGAGAACAGAAGTTTGGGATAATTTAGAAAGCTGCTTTTGTAAATAAGACATAATTAATTTCCACTTACCGGCCAATGCGTATATTCTACCACTATAATCTTTGATGACTGCATCGAAGGATCCCGTGCAGGCCTGGCGGGGTGGGGTAGGGGACGTAGGAGGTCTTATGGTGGTGGTCTGTGTGGTGGTTGGTTGTGTAGTTGTACGGCGTGTGGTTGTACGGCGTGTGGTTGTACGGCGTGTGGTAGTACGGGTGATTGTGGGTCGCCTAGTTGTTGTGGTTGTGCCAGTGTTTCCTAAGGAAGAGGAAGATACATTAACATTACATCTTATGTATGCTACATGTTACATTTGTGTCCAGGGGCGGAACGACTGCTCCTTTTAAAACAAAATATTTACGGGGCAACACGCCCCTCCCCAGGATTCCATAATAATTATTTACAAAAGCTAAATAAATCATCAATGAAAACATATATTATTCAAAATGAGACCTGTCTGATACGTAAGTGTTGAGAGGTATACGGAAAGGCTGATTAAAATCTTCATTTTTAACAATAAGAGACGAACTCGTCATGTTAACATTTATTTATAACATACATATCTCCATTGATTAAATACCATATGACTTACTTCCATAAAGCGACGTGATACCAGCAATGTCATCACGATCAAGATTGAAGTTGGGATTATAACCCCGATAATAGGGGTACATAAGAGCTGACTGTACATCCGAGTGGTAGAGACCAAGACTGTGACCGAACTCATGAGCTGCAACCTGAAACAAGTTCGTACCTGATGGATACAAAAAGATGTGATTATCATAACAGAAAAATAATATCATCTAAGAAAAAATAATAATAATCACAAATAAATAAAAATAATAAAAATTGTTTTCTGTGTTTCTATTATTCTTTCTTTTATTCAGAATAGTGAATATGTCTCCACTAGGCCAAACTTTTCAAAATATTTACCAGCTTTAATGAAATAATATCACAACCACCCCATCACAACATCATTCTAAAGTAAACTATATTTAAAAAGGGGGAATAAAACGTAGACAATCATGTGAATTCTTACCAAAGTTTGTCCCGATTGTCCAAGTCTCGGAGTCGTCGAAATGAGCGTCACCGTTACGAGGTAGGAAGGCGTGGGCGAGGACGCCGCCTTGGCCATCGAAAGAGATGCCGTCACCGTGTTCATAGCTCCCGAACTTGATACGGATATCGACAGATGAACTATCGACGACCTCACGAAAGGTCAAACCGGATACATCGTCCCAAACCTGTATTGAAGATGATAAAGACATTAATAAATAAAAGCCAATCATCAACATGTTTAAATCGAAATTTAGAATTAATTCAACAATTTTGTTGATGGCATCATTAAGCGTATCAACAAAAATAGTATAATTACCTGAAACGTTTCAATTATCCTGCACCACAAAAATTGTCTAACTGCATGTTTGTATTATATATCTCCATTATTTTCAATATCACAAACATGATAATTTATACAATAGCATGACGCGTTTGCTAAACAAAATGGAATAGTTACTTTTAAGAGAGTTACAAGATACTCGCAAAATAGTTCAGCCTTTAAAAGAAGACCCTTAGCCCATAAAAAAATATACATGTTTAGCGTCCCCACCCGCTTCCTTTTTGAAATTTTTTAATTTTGTTTTTTTAAGAAAAAAACACATGAAAAACACTGCTAAAATGGATCTATTTCTGATCAAAAAAAAAACCAAAAAAAAAAAATGTCGGCGGACATCTTGCAAAATAGCCCCGACTGTCATGGAAAATGTACCGAGCGGCCATTTTGAAGAAAAAAAAGGGCCTCCTCCTTCCTATTTTTCGAAAAACAGGACGCTAAACATGTTATTATTTTTTTATTTGGCCTTAGAAATGTTCATTTAGATGCCTAACTCATACTTATATGGAACGGCAGTTCTAAAGTATGAATATCTCCCCCCCCCCCCTCACCGACAAAAAAACAAACAGACTCAAACATTAAACTTTTATGGGCTCACCTGAAAGGCTCTCCTTATCTCGTTCTTGATCGCGTTTTGATTGAGATCATTGGTGAGTGTACCGAAGCTATACGTCACAGCTACGTTACGTGGCCACGCGATGCCACCTGTGACGTAGGGTAGGATATCGGGAACACCACACCGAGGGGTATCGAGGAGCTCAGCTGTTTCAGCATCCAATATACCTGTCATACGGGGAGGAATAAAACGTGACAACACGAATAAGAGTGACGTAACAATAATAATAGTATAAGTAATGATAATACTAGCAATACTATAAAATAGAAGATGCGAAATTGAATTGGGGATATCATAACGACGGTAATAATATGACAACGGTTTTAACAATGATGGGGTTGGTGATAATGATCACAATAATGTTGTCAATGATATTAGAATAAATATTTAGCTCTAACACAAATCATCGTGTCATGCGCAAGGCTAAAACAAGTTTACTAATCGTAATTTGAAACACCGACCAAAAACGCTGAACTAATGAGTTACACGTTGTAACATACTGATGCTTTAAACTGCAAATGTGTTCAAATCAAATCAGCGACTCACCTGTTTGGTTTATACCGCCATGTTGTTGATATTCCAAGATGGCGGATGTGTAGTTGATGTTTGCCTCGCCAAAGGTTGAACCGAGTGGGACGTAACCGAACTGCTCAAGATTGGCCTAAAATAAGAGGTTAATTAACAATAGAATAATTATGAATGAAGTGAATAATTAAGGAATGAAAGTAACATGAATATCACACTGTAAATTGCTTACTAAAATTAAAATTCTGCTCATAACATAACGTTCTTCTGAAAGGTGGTATTTCAGATTAAGCGGCTACAACTGAACTCCCTCCACAGTTTTGGCGACATCAAGATAACCAATAAAAACGAGGTCTTGTTCAATTTACATTAGAATAGATAGCGCATAAATGTGTCAACCATTCTTTTGGCTTAACATAAGTTAAATTGTATCTTCGAAATGAAATAATGTTGGCGGTAGCTCATGCCCTAAACGCAATCAAGTATTAGACATGGGATCATGAATTAGTGAAACTGGATCAAACTCAAAACCGCATTGATAAGATCGTAGTTTAATTAGATTGGACCCCAAGGAAACAAGATTGAGTGAACACGAATTATTAACCTAATTGTTGCGATCATTGTAGTTTAATATGTAATCATGTAGGTGTATTTAAAACTGTAACGATTATGATTTCGCTGGATCAATTTTGACTTCGCAATGAAACGACATTCATAAAGAAGACACAAGCACATGCTCAAAACTTCATCTTAACAAGCTTAATCTCTCTCTCTCTCTCTCTCTCTCTCTCTCTCTCTTCCTTCCACCTCTCGAAAGTACACCCATATAAACAGCAGAATCATTACCAAGAAAATAAATGTCGTAATAATAGAATCTTACCTTCAATATTACGACTTTTGACTCGTCAATATCCTCGTCGACGACTATGCCCGAAACCACATCTTCAGATGTTGGTGTTGTTGTTGTTGTTTGCAGTGTCGTCGTATCTTCAATCGATTCACCGCCATCGTCATCATCAGAATCGTCTTCGGAGACAGCAGTCAAGATCGCTGATCTCGGAGTGGTCAAGTCGAAATCATCTCCTGCTTCGCTGACCAATGCTGTGATGTCAGCTATCTGTGTCGGTCCGAATGTGGCCGAGATCGGGGTATTTAGTACAGTGGTTAGCCGTGTCAAGAAAACTACTGCTAATATCAAGCAAAAATTCGCCATTCTCAGTCTAAAGAGCGAACGATGATTTAAGTTGAAATGAAAACAACCTTCTAACTTGTATGAGCTTGTTTACAGCTTGATGATAAGAAGTGATAATGATTTTCACAAACAATTCACTGGCTATTTATGCGATTTTGATTCCCAGTAAAAGAGGGTTTCTAGTTAACCGCGCCCTAACGAACGCTGCTCTGATTGGCCTGTTCCGTACGCGTACCTGGTAAGCTCCTTTTTGATTGGACGACTATTGTACGGACAATAGTAAACTATTGACCAACGTCGCTATAGGATGTCAATCTTCTCCCGGAACTCTGCGGATGATGTTTCTTGTTGCCTAGCTACGTAGTTCCGGGTTTGAATTGGGTTACCCTGACAAAGAAATTGAAATCTATGGAATTTTTAGGACGGATCCAATTGGGAGAGAGTCTAGCAAGTTAAATCACAGACATTTCTTTCTTTTTTCTCAAAATTCTTTATTGATTCCAGGCATTGCATAAATCATACATAAACAAATTAAATGACTAATGATCTGCCATGAACAAGTTATTTCATCTAGTCCAATGTGAACTTCCTTCCATCCAATCTCTTTAGAAAATGCAATATGTTACCACGCTGTTCCCATAAATCCTTTACCATATCACTTTCACAAAATATGTGCTTATATGTTTCTTCATTTTTTCCACATAGAGGGGCACTTATCACATGATATCAAATGAAACCTGTAAAGTGGTGATTAACATAAACAATATTATACAGCAGTTTGAATTGAAATTCTTTTAGTCTTTTATCCAATGTGTAAATTCTGGGATAAAGCTGATACCTTTCTATTTCCTTTACCGACATATAATATAATGATTGCAAATCATGAAAACTAACAGGGTGTCTCAATCGTATTTTGTATACAGGCTCTCATAAATCAGTTCGAGCAAATTAAATCAAATTGAAACGATTTCTTTGAAAACTTAAACTCTATTGTTAGACCATGATGTGATAATTTGTTCTTTGTGAGATCCAGTTTCTATTTCTCAGATATGACTACTGTTTTATTTAATCAATAATATTTCCTCTTCAGTTAATCCCATACATCTGATATAAGCATCTGGCTTCAGTTTTCTCCTTCATCTATAATATGGTACAATATGTATGTATGTTTAAGGAAAAGATATTCATTAAGAAATGTCACTCACCTCTTTATGAATATACCTATTATCAAAAAAAAAATCATTTGCTTTCTTAGTTGTATCTTTTTTAATAAACACATTCATATCACGCCAGATAATTTAAGGGCAAGTCCACTCCAAAAATAACTTATTTTCAATAGAAGCAAAAAATTCAAACAAACCAATCAAAACAAGCTTGAGCAAAATCGGATAACTAATAAAAAAAAGTCATGAATTTTAATGACATGAACAATATTGAAAATCACAAGATAAATCGGCAACTCACTCATGAGTCTGTGACGTCATTGCCTCACCACCCCCTAATTTTGTCTTTATATTGATAACATAAATTTTCTTTTTTCCCCCTAAGAACCTTATTTCTTCCCACCAGCATCCAGGTTAGATTGATAGTAATATTTTTTTGTGTGGATGTACTAATATAGACAAATGTACGGGAAAAAGTTATAGAAATATATGAAAAATGTGAATGTAAACTATAAGAACAATTCTTCAAAGTTCAATCGCGGATGAGGTTAACGTCACACCATGTGTAAAGTCCTAGAAGGACTAAGGAAAGTGGATAGAAATAGAAGTGAAATGGAAAGGCGAGAAAGTGGAGGTTGGAAGGAAGAGTATCTTTCGGAAGTGAGTGAAAAGGACTGTAAACCAGAAAGTTGTAGACAGGATGAGAGGTTTGAGTAGAAGACTGGATTGAGTTGGAGAGTTGAGTAGATGAGAGAAGCTGGCTTGAGTCGGCGAGTAGAGTTGCAGAGCAGGAGCAGGAGAGTAGACTCGACGTTTCGGACAGGTTGACTGTCCGTCTTCAGGACTTCAAAGTTCATAAAAGATTTTGTGAAATGTCACACGCGCAATATGATACAAATCATATAATAATAATTTGTGTAGTGATTTCCATTGTTCCATGGTTTACATACTTTTTCAAAAATTCGTAACTTTCTTATTAGTTATCCGATTTTGCCCAAACTTATTTGATTGGTTTGTCTAATTTTTCTGCTTCTATTGTTAGTAAGTTACTTTTGGACTGGACTTGCCCTTTAACATTTCCTGGCAGTTTTTTTGGTAATGGTATTATAATCATTTGTTCAGGAATAAAAATTCAATTTAAAAAATATAGATTTGAATATTTTTTCCATTTCGCTTTCTGGTCTCCAGTTTACAAGTCTTTGATTAACATCACCCCTTGTATTTTGACGACAAGTCTAAAAATAGATGCTGCTTAGTAAGTCTAAACTTGAGCATTTTTATAGATATAGGGCACACCTTCATATTTTATTCCTACCTCGCCATAGAAAATTGAAACAAATCTCATCAATTTCTTTGAAGGCCCATTCAGGCACAGGAATTTTAGAGCTAACTTACATAACTCACTTTTGAGTATACATATGTTTTCAATAGATTTTTTTTATTTCCACCATTTTTAACAATTTCTTTACTTTGCTTTAATTTGTTTTTATAATTCATTTCCTCAATATCATGGGGATCTAGAAACACAAATAAATTTAAGTTTGATCGATTAGACTACAATCAATACAAAACCTATTCATATTTATCTGTAAAGCGCTTTGAGAGGGCCTCCGGTCCTGAAAAGCGCTATATAAGAACGAGCTATTATTATTATTATTATTATAACAGATTAATCGCTGTGGTCAGTGAAACAAGAAAATAATGAAATAAATACTTTGAGTTATTAAAACAATAAACACTAAACAAATATATATCTAGGTAAAGTTTTTTAATTGGCTGATCGTATTTTAGTTCGTAGTATATAGCGATAGAGAGTGAAGGGGCCATTACGAAAGAATTACTCATTTTGCAGACCTTTCTTTACAACACAAAGATTATCGTTATAGAGGCCACATGTCTAAAAGTTTGTCTACTAAATTGTAAGAGTGGTAGATCCTTAAACTGTAAGTTAAGGATTAGTTTCTCATTGAAATATAATGGGTGGGACAAATCCGGGTTAAGGTCATTATTATGATAATCCTTATCCAACATCATTAACGGCTATATCCTTTTTGGCTAATTTAGTAGGCTACTATTGACTTCATAGGTTGACAACTGGTATTGATATTGGTGGACAATCGCACTCTCTACCAACCTTTTCGTATGTTGTTTATAGAGAGAGGGCGATTAACAACAGGTCCAAGATATAAATAATTTTTAAATAATAACAAATTTCAGTTGATTGTCCCGTGTTTCATATTCCATTATCAGTACAACTGAGAGAACAAAATGAAGAAAGTTTGTGTAATTTCAAAATTAATATATATATGTAAAATCGGTTTTCCTTGCCTGCTGCAGACGTATAAAGACGAATCGATATCGTAGCCATAACAAACCAATCCTACTTTAAAGGGACTTGGTAACATTCTTTAGATGAGAGAAAATGGTGCTAAGGTAGTGACTTCAATGCTAGATGTAAGATAGTCTGAAAGTTTGAGAGAACATAGACCATTATTAATGGAAACAATTGAGAAAAACTAATTTGATATATTCCTTAATTCTCTCAACTATATTATTACAATTTAATCACATTTTAGGTGAATGCAAATCGTCACGAAGCAATGATGTACTAGTACAGCCATTTAAGTGTTGACAATAAAGCCTGTCTTATGTCTTATTTTCAATGGAAAACGGTTGGAAAAAAAATCAAAAATGGTTGGGAAAATTTACTGTTCAATTAAAAGAGGGTGTTGCACCGCGACGCCTTAAAAAAAACATAATTATCTTTGCGGTTTGATTTTTTTTTTGCATGTTAGAGGGTAAGTACATTAAAAGGAATATAATAAGTCACATTTCTTCATAAAATGATTATTTTTTCATCAACCTTCAACAATGTTACCGAGACACTTTAATGGGATGGACTCGGTCCGTTTCGAGTAGCTTTGGTGGTATGACAGTGATGTAAAATGGAATGTATTTTCTCTTATTAATATTATTTTGTTGTTCCATCTCTTGTCAGTCGCGTTGGTATAACCTGTGTGCAAGCTATGCTCTCTCTCTCTCTCTCTCTCTCTCTCTCTCTCTCTCTCTAGGCTATATATATATATATATATATATATATATATATATATATATATATATATATATATATAACTGTCGATCCCTTTTCACCGGTTTGACATTTTAGTTCTCCCTTCCCCTCCTTTCCTTCTTCAATCCTTCCGTTCCCAGTTTAGTGGATTTGTTGTTTTCAATAAAAACGGTCTTAACAGCGAGTCTCTATAACCGTTAAGTTTCCTCATCAAGACAAGGTGAAAACAATAACTATTAATAGCATTCTGTTTTCAAAACCCTGATACTACTGATGAAGCTATCTCTAACTTTATAATCAACATTTATCCAGGTCGCATTCATCTAATTACTAGGAGTTCACCAAATTCTTATCATTAAAAATTAACGTGTATATCCTACAGAGGTCGTTCAGTAAATACATTATTTGAAATAGGTTATTTGCAGAAATATGCACATGTTTTCTTCATTAGCTAATAACATTTCAAAGGCTGAAAGTTGAAATTGCTTTCTCAAAAATGGGAAAGGAATTACATACCGTAAGCTAACATTTTGGATCTTTTTACTTTCTGGATCATGTCACGAGATGGCGCTACAGCAGTCATTCCTTGGGTAGGTCCAATACCATATTTATTTTAAATCCTATACAATTTTCTTTCTAATGGCGCGATACAAAACACAAGTCGTTTCCGACTATTTCATTCATTTAAAAAAAGTGGTTTCTGACAGTCGCACAAAACTCTCAAATCTAACCAAACAGTGGCTATACAATCTCTGGCTTATTAGAACAGTGGTTATTGAGCACATCAGGAGGTAATGTAATTAATTATTCCAGTGTAACATGGACGGCAACACAACAAAGAGGTAAATCACTCCATAGTGATGTTTTTATAACTCAGTTTCACTCCTTG